CCTGACCCTGGCTTGGCTAACGGATATTCTCCCCCATTCTTCTGTGTATGACCCCAGCTATCCTACGTCTGCTCTAATCTCCACCTGGCACTTGACCTTGGCTTTGAACCGACTATCCTGTGGTCCTCTGTTTCCCTGAAGGCTTGCATACCTCTCACAGGCGCCACCTGTCTGCAGACTTCATTTCAGTACATCAGCCGTGCTCCTGGGTGTACCACTGACCAGCAATCCTACAGGCAACCTGTGCTACTTTGGGCACGACTCCCGCTGTCCATATCCAGGGGGTCTGGAACGTAGCCGCAAGGGAAGCCCTCTTTCCATTGGCCTCTAACACCAGGTACATGATATGCAAGCTGTAGGTTGGTAGCTGCCTTTAGGCCTTCTGCTGGGCTGGCTCCTTCCTTAGCTCCACAGATGATTCTCTGTCAGGGGGCTAGTGAGATTCAGTTTCCTCTCGTCCAGATTCCACCTGGAGGCAGGCCCCTTCCCACTGGGCCCCCTCCCAGGCTCCACACTTGCCTCCTGCTCTCACATCTTCCACCCAAACTCCCCTCTCCTCTCTTAGCAAGCTCCCCTATGTATAAGGGCTGTCCCAACCCCTTGCCAAGCCTCCTGCTTGAGGATTGGTCAGGGTCCCTTAAGCATACAGATCAGCCACTCCCCCCCCCCTCCACTGAATTCTAGAGACTTCTCTGGGTCTCTAGATTGGCTGGAGGTACTAGAGAGCTGATCTGCAGAGCCCTCTCAGCCCTGAACCAAATTGAACCCCTTCCTCAGACTATCTCCCCTGCTTCTATTCAGCCTCCTATCTAAAAAAGAAATGAACTCGGCTCCCCCTAGCTACCTAGGAGGCTGCTACATCTGCATATCTTACATTTAACCTTCTATGAGAAAAACCTGATAGCAGAATATAATGAAGCAAAACTACTAAAGTGGGAGGTTAATAGCATACTATGGGTTGTTCATGGTTGGGGGGGACAAGGGAGTATTGAGAGGGCAGGGAGTAACTGCACCATTATTGTACCAAATTGATGTAAAAAAAAAAACTCTAAGTAGCGCATTTCCCCCAAAACTAAAATACTTGTGGGTGTGGGCAGTAAACATACAAAGTCCGGTTGCAGTGAGCTTGAAACTTGTATTACGCAGAATGCCAACAATACAAACACCTTAGCGGGAGAGCGCCGCTACGGAAATAACTCACAGTTCAATGTAGTCAAAGAGGTGGCTATGGAGAGATGCCAACAGCGTTTGTTTCAGAGGGCAAAGTGTGGCCTGGCCCAAGAGGGGAAGCTTCTTCCCAGCAAGTCCCTAGCCTGACCCTACTTGTCTGGAACCTTTTCCTACCACTAGTGCTTTCCCTCACAAGCGGGTCTTTCTCTATACACTAGCCATTCGCAAAAATGCGTGCCAAAACCCGTGCCAAATAGACCCTGCTGACCTAAGATGGCTGCCAAGGGTCACATGGTTGCAGTGTAGCCAGCCAGAACACTGTCCATAGCGTTCCCTTGGACTTCCTTTCCAGGCTGTGGTACCACTTGATCAAGTGCCACCTAAAATGGAGAAAGCAGACCTGAGCTTCCTGGAGAGGAAGTCCAAGGGAATGCTATGGACCAGTGTTCTGGCTGGCTACACTGAAACCATGTGACCCTTGGCAGCCATCTTAGGTCAGCAGGGTCTATTTAATTCCTTGCTCAGTGTTTTCTCATTGGACCAAGGGGGCCTCTGTATTCAGATGCTCACATCCTGGACTCCTTGGCTTCCGTTCAGGAAGTAGAAGAAAGGTGTGGGGCGCTGGATCTCCTAAAGCAGTGACTGTCTCAGCAGTGTAATGGGAATGATTCTCTCAGGGTGTTGCCCAAAGGTTGGCAAGGAGAAAAGTGACGAAAACACAACATATAAAGTTCAGAATTATTTTTATGGAGATTCTGATGTCCTAAAAATCCAACGCCTTTTGGGGTTTGAGGCTTAGCCAGCATCTGGAGCTTTCTTACTAATTACCCCTCAGGATCCCTCCCATTCTGTCAGTTCAGTCCACACTTTGTTCAACAGTGCCAAGCCCTGAGCCAGGTGGACCCTGTGAACCCCCAAAACACATTGACTTTTTAAAATATACAGTATATTTCAACATAATAAACTGAAATCTGAACTTGATACATTCTGCTTTTGCCGCTTTTCTCCTTGCACACTTCTTTTTTTTGCTTCCATGGCATTGAACTCTGTAACTCCACCTGCCAGCCAGTCCATCGTGGGTGTCCCTTTATTGGAGGTTTTATGACACCTTTACTTTCCTTTTGTGTTTTTGCAGTGAAGAATATTTTGGGGGGAGAGCAGTGCTTTATTCTCAATATACTGGTTCAGCCTTTTCAGGTTTAGATGTTCTCAAGACAAGGCATTCCTGAGGAGGAACTCGCAGAATCCCTGTCAGGACTTCCGAAATTCTCTGGAACAACACTGGGCATATCTTCCGACCAAAGGCTATTGAAGAAGCAGTGTTTGAAATGGCTGGTGTTGTGTCCTTTCGTCAGCTTTCCTATGTGTAAATAAGCCGGAATACTTTCTGATTGCCTTCCTTTTGCAGACCCTGATTGTCCTGACTACTCTCTTGCCTGCTATCTGCCCACAACCATAGCCTGGGCCTGACTACTTTTTTTTGCCTGCCGCCTGCCATGGCCTCATCTTCGACCTAACTACTTTCTTGCCTTCAACCTGCTCACAACCTCAACCCGGGTATAACTACTTTTTATGCCTGCCAACTGCCACAACCTCAGCTTGGACCTGTTTAATTTCTGTTTCCTGTTGCCAGCCCATGACCTCAGCCTGGGCCTGACTACTATTTTTGCTTGCTGCCTGCCACGACCTCAGCTTGGACCTGACTACATCCTTGCCTTCCATCTGCCCATGACCTCAACCTGGGCCTCACTACTTTTTTTGCCTGCCGCCTGCCACATCCTCAACTTGGTCCCGACTACTTTTTTGCCTTCCACCTGCTCACGAACTCAGTCTGGGTATGACTACTTTTTTTGCCTGCCACAATTTTAGCTTGGGCCTGACTACTTTCTTGCCTGCTGCATGCCCACGACCTCAAACTGGGCCTGACTACTGCTGCCTGCTACGACCTTAGCTTGGACCTGACTATTTTCTTGCCTGCCACCTGCTCATGGCCTCAACTGGGGCCCGACTACTTTTTTGTGCCTGCCACCTGCCACAACAATAGCTTGACCCTGTTTTCTTGCCTACCGTCTGCACATGAATGCAACCTGGGCATCACTACTTTTTTACCTGCTACAACCTCAGCTTGGATCTGACTATTGTCATGCCTGTTGCCTACCGTTGACCTCGACCTTAACCTGGGCCTGACTACTTTTTTTTGCCTGTTGCCTGCCACAACCTCAACTTGGACCTGACTGCTTTTTTGCCTTCTGCCTGCTCATGACCTCAGTCTGGGTATGACTACTTTTTTTTCCTGCCACAATTTTAGCTTGGACCTGACTACTTTCTTGCCTGCTGCATGCCCACGACCTCAACCTGGGCCTGACTACTTTTTTACCTGCTGCCTGCTACGACCTTAGCTTGGACCTGACTATTTTCTTGCCTGCCACCTCTGACTATTACCTTGCCTGTTGCCTACCCATTACCTCAGCTTGGATCTGACTATTTCCTTGCCTGCTGCCTGCTCATGCTCTCAACTGGGACCTGACTACTTTTTTTGCCTGCCACAACCTCAGCTTGGATCTGAATATTTTCTTGCCTGTTGCCTACCCATGACCTCAGCTTAAACCTGACTACTTTCTTGCCTGTTGCCTATCCATGACCTCAGCTTGGACCTGATTATTTTCTTGCCTTTTTCCTATCCATGACCTCAGCTTGGACCTCATTATTTTCTTGCCTGTTGCCTATCCATGACCTCAGCTTGGACCTGATCTTCCAGGGGGTGCCATAACACCACTAAACTGTGCAACTCATATCATGAGTCAGTCCAATGTTGGTGCATCTTTTCTGGGAAAGTTATGATAGGTTTAATTAAGTTTTGCCCTGAAGAATATTTTGGGGGAGGCAGTGCTTCTTCCCTCCATGTACTGAATTTGGAAATTTCAGATACCTTGGGGTTTGGATGGTCTCAGTTCAGCGCATATGTGCGGAGGTGGCAAAGTCCTCTCACAATGGACCTCTGATTACGAGGATTTGAGAAGGATGAGTTGTGATCGGTGACACACAAATCTATAGCGCACAGGGGAGTGAGTGTCTGCCAGACAGAGAACGTCATTCGCTCATTCTGAGCATATTTTATGAGGCTTCCAATTTCCAGCCCATAAAGAATTTTGTTTCTAGACATAAACTAGTTTTCAATAGCAGCCACTGAAACCTTTTTTCTCAGTAACCCGTATAAAATGCCGGCACGGCTACGGGAAACGTCACGCACTTAATTTACTTGATCGTTAATGTGAATTGTTGCCGTTCAGGACTCACACCTCCCGTTGCCTCTTGATAAATGACCCCCCACTATGTGTTTTACCTGCAGTCGCTTCTTTGCTCAGCATCCCAGTCTCCATGGTTACTGGGATCCAATACCCAGAAGGCGCTTTCTGTAATTGTTAACACTTTGAGTCCCAAAGGATCTGACATTTTTCCCATCTCATCATCGGCAACTTAATCCTGCTACAGTCATGTAGTCAGAAGGAGTATCTGATTTAAAGAGTACCTGTCTCGTTGGTTTAGGGAAGGCGGACATTTTTTCTGGGTGTTTGGCTTACAAAGAAATGATGGTGTGGTAAGAAGTGCTTTGTACTAAGGAGTAGTGAGGCTTGGTACATCTTGACCAGAAGCCAGTCAGGGCCATATACTGTACACCTTTCCTCTCTTGGCATCTATGACTATACTGTTTCTTGGTTCTCCTCTTCAGGGCCATCCTAATGCATGGGAACCCTGGGCACTGCCCAGGTGCATGGGGGCCCCATGATAATCTTGCAATACACCGTAGTTGCCAACTCTCAACGATTTGCTGGGACAGTCAAGCTGTTTACTTAGCTGTCCTGAGCAGTATCCCAGGATCTGTGCTTCACAGAAAGCATCAGCCTGTCACTGGGCCAAATCTACAGTTGGAATGACAACTTGTCAGGAATGGACTGGCCAGCAATGGTGGGACTCACCTGCCTTTTGATCTGCAGTACCAGGGCTGGCCAGCGGGTGCTCCCAGCAATCAGAGACTCAACCTTTCAGCCAGCTAACACCTGGAACTGATGATACTGGTGTATTTAAGGGATGGCCAGACTTGCAGACTCTGCCTTGGTGTTGTGTTTGTCCTGGGCCCTGTATCCTGTTTCTGTCCTGCATCTTGTTTCTGAACCGCTGCTGACTTCTCCTGCTCTGATCCCGGCTCGCTCCTGACCATCCCTCTGTCTGACCCTCTGTACCACGCTGCTTGCTACCTGTTCTGATCCCTGGCTTGTGACCCTGACCATCCCTCTGCCTGACCCTCTGTACTACGCTGCTTGCTACCTGCTGAACCTGGCCTGTGACCCCGACCAATCTCCGCTTGCTCCCCCTGTACCTACCTGCCCTATTGATATTGACCCGGCCTGCCTGACGACGCTTGCTTGTATGTACTGTTATCTGTGGGTTGGTTTGGTTTGGTTTGGTTTGGTTTGGTTGCACTGTATTATGTTTTAGTATTGCACTGCGTTTATGTTTGTATTGTTAGTGTTAATAAATTATATTGTTTATAACATATCTGAGGTCTGCGTTTCCCTGCGTCAGTCACACACCTCTGGTCATACCTGGGAGCCCTGACACAACTTCTCCCGATACTTGCTTAAAGTTGATTTTACTGAATACTCCTACTTTCATTCTTATGAGTAGGTGCGTAACTTGGGGCAGACTGATAGGGGCCCCAGTGTGTTACTTCGCCCAGAGAACCTTGATGCTATTAAGATAGCCCTGCTCCCCCTACATATCTCAGCACACATTCAATATCACCTACAACTCTATCATCTTCTCTCGTCCTCCTTTTTCCGTAGGTGTCCCCCCTCAGTCCTCATCTATTCTTTATTTACAACTTCTCTCTGGGTCAGTTGATAACCTCCCATGACTTCCAATCCCATCTCTATTCTGAGGACACCCAAATCTATCTCAGCATACTTTGTGTCACCTATAACTCTATCTCCTTCTCCCTTTACTATAGATGTCCCCTAGCCTACATCCTCATACTCTTTCTATTTTATATCCACAACTCCCATGACTTCCACTCCCATCTCTATTCTGAGGACACCCAAATCTATCTCAGCATACCTTCTGTGTCACCTATAACTCTCTCTCCTTCTCCCTTTACTATAGATGTCCCTCAGCCTACATCCTCATACCCTTTCTATTTTCTATCCACAACTCCCACGACTTCCACTCCCATCTCTATTCTGAGGACACCCAAATCTATCTCAGCATACTTTCTGTGTCACCTATAACTCTATCTCCTTCTCCCTTTACTATAGATGTCCCCTAGCCTACATCCTCATACCATTTCTCCCACGACGTCCAATCCCATCTCTATGCTGAGGACAACCAAGTCTCTCTCTACTCCACAGCTCAGCCCTTCTGTGAAGTTTGGTACATCTGGACCAGAAGCTGGTCAGGGCCATATATTACCTCACTCCCTTGGCATCCATGACTTGGCTCTTTCCTGGTTCTCCTTCTACCTATCTCAGCATACTTTCAGTGTCACCTACAACCCTGTCTCCTCCTCTCCTTTTACCATAGGTGTCCCCCAGCCTCCATCCTCAGATCTCATCTATTCTCTATCTACAACTCCTCTCTTGGTCAGTTGATAACCTCACATTAATTCCAATCTCATTTCTGTGCTGAAGACACCCAAATCTATCTCTCTACTTCATAGCTCTCCCCTTCTGTAATGTTGGGTACATCTGGACTAGAAACCAGTCAGGTCCATATATAACCTCACTCCCTTAACCTCCATAATATGGCTCTTTCCTTGTTCTCCTCCTACCTATCTCAACACACCTTCCGTGTCACCTACAAATCTATCTTCTCCTCTTCCCCCCCTTTTAACGTAGATGTCCCACCAGCCTCCGTCCTCAGGCCCTTTTTATTTTCTATCTACAACTCCTCTCCAATTCCATCGCAATGCTGAAGAAACCCAAATCTTTCTCTCTACTCCTCAGCTCACCCCTTCTGTGAGGCTTGGTACATCTGGACTAGAAGCTGGTCAGGGCCATATATAAGTCCACTCCCTTGGCCTCCATGATTCAGCTCTTTCCTGGTTCTCCTTCTACTTATCTCAACACACCTTCAGTGTCACCTACAACTCTTCTCCTCTTCCCCTCCTTTTACTGTAGGTGTCCCCCCAGCCTCCATCCTCAGACCACTTTTATTCTCTATCTACAACTCCTCTCTTGGTCAGTTGATAACCTCCCATGACTTCCAGTCGTATCTCAATGATAAAGAAACCCAAATCTATCTCTCTACTCCTCAGCTCATCCCTTCTGTAAGGCATGGTACATCTAGACAAGAAGCCAGTAAAGGCCATATATAAGTCCACTCCCTTGGGCTCCATGAGTCAGCTCTTTCCTAGTTCTCCTTCTACCTACCTTAGCAAACCTTCAGTGTCATCTATAACTCTATCTCCTCCTCTAAGTCTCCTTTTACTGTAGGTGTTCCCCCAGCCTCCATCCTCAGACCCCTTCTATTTTCTATCTACAACTTCTCTCTGGGTCAATTGATAATCTCCCATGGAATCCAATCTCATCTCTATGCTGAAGACACCCAAATCTATCTTCCTACTCCTCAGCTCACCCCTTCTGTGATGTTGAGTACATTTGGACTAGAAGCCGTTCAGGGCTATATATAAGTCCACTCCCCTGGCCTCTATTACTCAGCTCTTTCCTCGTTCCCTTTTTCCTATCTCAGCACACCTTCAGTGTCACCTATAACTCTATCTCCTCCTCTCCTTCTTTTACCGTAGGTGTCCCCCCAGCCTTCGTTCTCAGACCCCTTCTATTGTCTATCTTCAACTCCTTTCTTGGTCAGTTGATAACCTCCTATGGCTTCCAATCTCATCTCTGTGCTGAAGAAACCCAAATCTATCTCTCTACTCCTCAGCTCACCCCTTCTGTGAGGCTTGGTACATCTGGGCTAGAAACCGGTCAGGGCTATATATAAGTCCACTCCCTTGGCCTCCATGACTCAACTCTTTCCTGGTTCTCCTTCTACCTATCTCAGGTTGATAACCTCCCATGGCTTCCAATCTCATCTCTATTCTGAGGACACCCAAGTCTATCTCTCTACTCCCCAGCTCACCCCTTCCGCCCCTCTCACATCAATAAATTACTAACTGACATATCAGTATGGATGTGTCACCACTTTCTAAAACTGAGCTCATATTTCCTCCCGGTTTTGAGACTTTTCAAGGGGCTTGCACTTTGCTCCTCGAATTATGGGTGCTTATTTACAAAAAAAATTTACCGTGCAACTAACAGGCTCCTAGAATCTTCGCCATCATTTTCCATAAAAGGTTTGTTTCCTAGGATCGTCAGCACCTCGGAATGCCTCAGTTGGGAAAATTGCGGCATCATTGCCACTAGATGGCGCTGACAATTCTAGGAAATAAAGCTATCATGGTGAAGATTCATAGACCTGTGTGAACGACTGACATATTCACTCATTTTTTAATACATTAATGCCCAAGATGCAAGGATGAATACACGGACAGCTTCAATGAACAAAGATCCGTGTGATAGTTTAGGTCACAGGTGTCAAACACAAGGCCCGCGGGCCGAATCCGGCCCTCCAGGTCATTTCATGTGGCCCTTGCACCTCTCCTGCAGGTACCCCCCTTGTCTCCGCCTCCTCATTGTCTCAGCAGTCGGCAGCAGAGAGGAGAATAGAACTCCTCTGCCAAATCCTGCACCTCTCAGTGCAGCTGCAGCACCCCCTCATCTCTGCCTCCCCTGGTCTCAGCATTCAGCAGACTCTGGTAACTGACTCCACTCCTCCTCTGGTCCTCCTCCAGACCCGGCACTTTCTGCTTTCCAGCTCTGCCCCCAAAGGGGGTGCATGGTGATGTTAGGGAGGGTGTGGGATTCTTGACATCTGATGCAATGGGGGGGGGGGTGCTCTGGACATCTAGTCTTACAGATACAACCGGCCCTTTGAAGGCAATCAGAATGCTGATACGACCCGCAATGAAATGGAGTTTGACACCCCCGCTTTAGGTGAATTGACTTTTAGTGCAAAAAAACTAACAACATCATGCAGTAACTGTAGGAGATCTGCAGGATGAAACTCTCAGTGAATTAAGAATAGTAAAAAGTAGCAAATAATGTGCTGTAATGGAAATCCACGAGTTATGCTTTAGTGAATTGACGTCATGATCATTCTCTCCTGTCTCCTGTGAGTCATGGAGTAATATGAACCTTTTGCTGCCTCATTCACCAAACGTGAGGCCCGACCCCCCCGCCCCCTTGGCAGGAGTCCTCCTTTTCTATGCCGGTGGATTCAGTTCAAGAACTTTTTGAGTAAATACCTTTTCAGTTGGAAAATCTGGAGCATTAGAAAAATGAGATAGATCATAAACATTATAGACAAACATCATTCTTCCTTTGTAGTATCCTATATACTCTATATTGCCCTCCCAAATCATGTGATTCAGGTGTTCCAAACCCCTCCATATCATGTGATTCAAGTGTTCCAATCCCCTCCATATCATGTGATTCAAGTGTTCCAATCCCCTCCATATCATGTGATTCAGGTGTTCCAAACCCCTCCATAGCATGTGATTCAGGTGTTCCAATCCCCTCCATATCATGTGATTCAGGTGTTCCAATCCCCTCCATGGACACAGGTGTATACAATCATCCCCTAGGCATGCAGACGCTTCTACAAACATTGGTGAAAGAATGGGTCGCTCTCAGGAGCTCAGTGACTCCAAGCGTGGTCCCGTGATAGGTGGCCACCTGGGCAATAAGTCCATCCGTGACATTTCCTGGCTACTAAATATTCCACGCTCAACTGTTAGTGGGATTATAACAAAGTGGAAGCAACTGGGAACAACAGCCACTCAGCCACCAAGTGGTAGGCCACGTCACATGACAGGGCGGGGTCAGCGCATGCTGAAGCGCACAGTGCGCAGAAGTCACCAACTGTCTGCAGAGTCAATAGCTAAAGACCTCCAAACTTGGTTGTGGCCTTCAGATGAGCCCAACAACAGTGCGTAGAGAGCTTCATGGAATGGGTTTCCATGGCCGAGCAGCTGCATCCAAGCCTTCCATCACCGAGTGCAATGCAAAGCGGCAGATGCCGTGGTGTAAAGCACGCCGCCACTGGACTCTAGAGCAGGGGAGGTGTGTTCTCTGGAGGGAACAATCATGCTTCTCTGTCTGGCAATCCGATGGGTGTGTCTGGGTTTGGTGGTTGCCAGGAGAACGGTACTTGCTTGACTGCATTGTGCCAAGTGTAAAGTTTGTTGCGGGGGGGATTATGGTGTGGGGGTGTTTTTCAGGGGGTGGACTTGGCCCCCTAG